CAAGATAATGACCTTTTGCTAAAATTGAGTTTTATGGATAAGCTCGGAAGCCAATTCCAATGATATGGTGTATGAACAAATCTGATGTATAGATTTTGAGTTGTGATATTTTAAATCTATAATTTGCATAAAAGTGAGAAGTGATTAAAGACGTGAACTTTTGTTAAATGATTTATTGAAGTAAATTATTTAAATTGAATTATATTCATTGAATATGAGAATATTTTAATTATATGTCAATTAAATCAATTTTGACTTTGTTAAAGTCAAACATCCAAAAATATAATATCAAAAAAAAGTATTTCAAAAAAAATGAAAATTATACCGTTGTGTAAAGTTTAAATATCTGATCGCAACGGTGTAATCGAATTTCAATTTGGAAAAAGCTGGATAAAAAATGTACCCCAATAGGGATCGTTTCAGTTTCAATTAGGGGGTGTTTGTTTTTTCTGCAGGAAAAGGTCTGCAGTCTGCGGACCACTACTGTAGACATCTGCAGGAGAAGTGGTGAACCGAAGGTCTGCGGTCTTCAAGAAGAAGACTGTTTGTTTTTTAATATCTGTAGATTGCTATATAAATTAATGGTAGTAGTGTACGATGGTGGTGTATGGACGATTGTGGTGGTGGTGGAGGGTGGTGGTGAAGGGTGGTGGTGGACGTTGACGGCAGTGGTGGTGGACGGTGGTGGTGGTGGCGGTGGATGGTGGCGGTGGTGGTGGACGACGATGGTAACGGTGATGGTGGACGGTGGTAGTGGTGGACGGTGGCGGTGGATGGTTGTGGTGGTGAAGAGAAGTAGAAAAAAAAGGAGAAATGTTAGAAGATGTTAGAAGACATTGGTTAATGTCTTCTCCAAGAAGATGCTAGGAAGACCTTTTTGAGTGAAATGTCTTCCAAAAAACAAACAATCTGCAGAGCTCATCATCTGCGCGCGTCTGCGCGGCACAGACAAAAGACGCCAGAAGGTCTTCTGGCAGAAAAACAAACACCCCCTTAGGGAGAGGCGTGTAAAATTAGAAAAAATTGTTGCACTCAGCCTCTACCTTCACTACGGAAGTGGGCTGATGGAAGAGACCACCAAGAAGCACAAAGTCACACAACTCTTCTCCATTCTAGCCGATTTAAGGAGACTCTTTCTTCTTCATTTATGAACCAAACTTTCTCATTCTTCTTCTATTCTACTCTTTGTTATGTAGAGAATAATCCGTAAGTGATCGTCGATTCGCCGCCGTTGAGGTTAGCGTTCAAAAATGGTCTATGGATGTTAGAGAACATTTTTATAAAGTCAAAATAAAGTTTAGAAACTTAAAATGGTATTTTGGAAGTTTGGGCCGATGTTAAAGAAGACACTGTACAAAACACACGCAGAAACGATACCTTGATACCGCCCCACCCCAATAGCACCCCTTACCCCAGCCTAAATCACTCATTGGCTACAAGGGGGGTTTAGGGGGGAGAGGGGATAAAAACCTTCATTTTTTTTGAGTTGAGTATCATATGTCATTGTTCTCAAATCAACAACAACAACAACCAGTTGAATCCCACTACAGTAGGGTTTGGGGAGGGTGTGTGTACGCAGACTTTGCCCCTACTTGGAAATAGGGAGGCTGTTTCCAATAGACGCTCGGCTCCAACTGCACAAAAAATATGATAAGAATCACAGTATAACACAGATAAAGCACCAAGTACAATGGAATGAAAGTTCTGTAAATAATAGCAAAAATATCCAACCAAACAAAACACACTACAAAAAACCCCTGAAGCACCTATCCAGCTACTCTAATCTTAGTTCTTCAAAGGTTCCTATCTAAAGTCATATCCTCAGGGTGAGAAATCCTAAATCCTGCCTAAGTCCTAAATCCTGCCTAATCACCTCGTTCCAATTCTTCCTAAGTCTACCCCTTCCCCTACTTCCCCGACAACCATAATCCTCTCACATCTCCGTACAGGGGCGTCAGCATTTCGCCGCCTCACATGACCAAACCATCTCAATCTCGCTTCCCGCAGCTTATCTTCTACCGGCGCCATGTCCATACAGGGGCGTCAACTTATTGTTCTCAAATCAATATAAGTAAAAAATGATGTGGAATTAAAAAATAAAATTATACATTAAAAAGCTACATTAAAAGTTCTACAAAATAAGTGATGACAAGATTACTTTATTTTATCAAAAAACAATGAAAATATATTAATAAAGTATAATTAGTTTGACTTCTGAATAGTAACTGTGAGTCTTTTTTGGAACGGAGAGAGTAATATCATTTTTCAACACTTTTCTAGGGTTATTTAGTTTTATTTAAAAAGATATTATTTAATTGATTATGATAGAATGATTATGATCTAATTGAATCTAGTTCGATTTAATCTAATTAAATTTGATTGAATTTGTTCAAATAATTCGATGTAGGGCATGTTTGAGAATAACTTTAGTAATTAGCGTTAGCGTTTTCAAAAAGCTATCTACGGGCAGCTTTTAGCGTTAGCGTTTTCAAATTAATCTGCACCGTTAAAATTTTATAAATACTGATGCTAATCGCTAACGATATTCCCAAACAGGCCTGTAATCTAAATTTTAAACTAATGTCTTTTGTTCTTCCCTACCTCATCCCACAAAAAAATTAAAGAAAAAGAAAAACCTCTTTCTTAGGGTTTATCTCACCGCCCACAACCACGAAATACAATCTATTGAATCAAATGTGAAGTTTCTCCGCAGGATCCATAAAAATTGAAGAGAAAAAGGAATGGATGCCAGAGTGGGGATGCCTGGTCGCGGCGGCAGCGTGGTAGACGGAGGAGCCGGTTCGTTCCTGCCGCAGCACCACCACCAGCGTCTGAAACACCATCAATACCACACGCAACAGCAGCTGCAGAATTCGCAAGCGCAAATCGGGACTGTGTCGCAGCTTCTTGCGGGTGGCATAGCCGGAGCGTTCAGCAAGACCTGTACTGCCCCCCTTGCTCGCCTCACCATTCTATTTCAGGTTTGTAGTTAACGCCTAACTCCTCTCTCCCTCTGCATAAGCTGCTAAATAGGTTTATTTTTTCTCATTCTTTTCCAGTTCATTGTTCCATTAGATTCATAGATACAATTTTTTTTGAAGTGGCTGAAGCTCTGGGTTTTTTGTAGAACATACAATTTTTTTCTCTAAATAGGCTATGACTAGTAATTTCATTTGGTTATTCTTTTCAATGAGATCCTAATATCATATTCTTATTCCTCTATTTCCATACCCAGACTTGGGTGTGTAGTTAATTTGTTCAAAAGTAGTCATTTGTTTGAATAGTTAATAGTTGACAATAGGGTCTTTAACGTTGCTCCTCTCTCAATTTGTTGTGTTCTTTCTTTAAATTATGTAAAATTAGGTCCAAGGCATGCACTCTGATGTGGCAGTGTTAAGTAGACCAAGTATATTCCATGAGGCTTTGCGCATTGTTAATGAAGAAGGGTTCAGAGCTTTTTGGAAGGGAAACCTTGTCACTATTGCTCACAGACTTCCATATTCATCAGCCAATTTTTATGCTTATGAACAGTATAAGAAAGTGAGTAAGCATGACATATTTGTACCAGTATTGTGATACATAGTTAATTCAATATCTCTTTTCGACATAACAAAGTTTTTCCATTTTGTAGATTCTGAAATCTATTCCAAGCCTCTATGGTAGTAATAAGAGAAATGCTAGTACAGATCTATTTGTGCATTTTGTAGGTGGTGGTTTAGCTGGGATGACAGCTACTTCTGCCACCTATCCTTTGGATCTTGTCAGGACAAGGTTGGCAGCACAGGTACAATTATAAGATCTAGAATTATTGTTTGTGTACTTGTTCTTTGATTTAGACGTGCATGTGATAATCCTACATTTTTCATGGGAGTATAACAGAATCATGATAAATAAATGGTGAGACTAAATCTACACGTAAATTGGCTAAAACCACTCTCCTCACCAGTATTTGCTAAATCCATTCCCACTCATTTAATGTAGAAATTTGACATGTAGGGAGTGGATTTATCAAATTTGGGTGAAGGGAGTTGATTTAGCCATTTAGGGGTGGATTTGGTCTCACCGTAAATATAATTAAATGAGTGGAGTGTTTTATTATATTGACAACCTTGCATTTTCATCATATCCTGAATCCTATAAAGACATGTGGAAATTATTGGGTTACAGTGTGGCTAAAAGGATTTATTTATATATGACTGGCTTACATGAAAACATCAAGCAGGGATGCTATAAATAATTTTTGGTTTATCTGTGTATGTTTGGCACTGCCATTTGGTTTAACTATAATTTTCTCATTACTTTGTAGAGAAGTACGATGTATTATCAAGGCATTTCCCATGCCATCAGCACCATTTGCAGGGATGAAGGTTTTTTTGGGCTGTATAAAGGACTTGGAGCAACATTATTGGTACACAACTATGGATATGTGAACTAGCTTTATTTTTTATAAATTTATTTATTATTGATCGTTAACTTTAGTTTGTTTTTTTTACTCTGGGTGCTTTCTCTGTGTTGTATCTGTGCTTTCTCTGCTTTACGTATATACTGTAATCCTTCTATATGTGCAGCTTGAGCCAGGGGTATCTTGGAAACAGCCTCTCTACTTTCGAGTAGGGGCAAGGTCTGCATACACGCCCTCTCCAGACCCTACTTTTGTGGGATCTAACTGGGTTGTTGATGTTGTTTTGTTAATTGTTGAATTATGATTAAAAAATAACCACTTCTGTTTTGCTGAATACAGAGTGTTGGGCCTAGTATAGCGATAAGCTTCTCTGTTTATGAATCTTTGAGATCTCATTGGTTAGCTCACAGGTGAGTGTGTGGGGTTTAGTTCTTTAGCTATCACCTCCTCAAACTATTCCAATCCTATTTTCTTACTGCTGATCATGGTTTTGACTAACTTCTCTCCTAGGCCTGATGATCCCAATCTTATGATTAGTCTTACCTGTGGAAGTCTTTCAGGAATTGCATCATCTACTGGTAATTCTTTTAGAAATATAATTTCTTCCAAGCCTCTAACGAATAGGTTTGCAATTCAAAGGAATTTAGTGTAATTCCTTTCCTTTCTATAGCTACATTCCCTTTGGACCTTGTGAGGCGAAGAATGCAGTTGGAAGGAGCTGGTGGTCGAGCACGTGTATACAACACAGGCCTTGTTGGGGCATTTAGGCACATCGTTCGAACTGAAGGTTTTCGTGGGTTTTATAGAGGGATTATGCCCGAGTACTACAAAGTTGTTCCTGGTGTGGGGATCGTTTTCATGACATACGAGGCACTGAAGAAGTTTCTATCTGAATCACCCTTTGCTTGATTGATCATCATCATCTTGCAGAAAGGAAAAGAAAAACCTAAGCTTTTGTTAGTTAGGGAAGTCAAAAACTTGGGTGGGTAAATTGTAACATTCCTACCCCCTTTTTTTGTGTTAGTATCTAACTTCCCTTTCTCATTTGTACAGCCCCTATTGAAGTGTTGTCCTACATGCTTTTTGCACTTGCCTTGGGTTCTCTTAGTAGTCCTTAACTCTTCAATATTGATGTGTACCTTAGCACTCCCTTTTTCTGAAGCGAACTTCAAACGAATTTTGTTAGCTGAAAAGTGTCTTTTGACGCCTGTATTGACAATGACATAATTGGATTGTATTACTTGCTGACCATTATGAATACTTTTGATTTGATGGGTGTGTGAAGTGTGTGCTGCATTAGACCTTTCATTTATTCACTCTTTTCGTTATGTGTGTGCTGATTTCAAATTAAGCTAGTATTCTGACCCGTGCCATGCACGGGGTCGAAATTTTTTTTGTTGATTCTGAATTATTTCAATTAAATTTATTTTTCCATATAAATAAAATTTATTGTACAAATGATTTTTAATACTACAGATGAAAAAAGCAAAATTAAAATAAATAATATTTTAGAAACAGAATGTGGAGTTAACAATGTTTATTTTAATACCAAATTTTTTGAAAGACTTCAAAGTATACAACATTTTTGGTATGGTTGCAATCAAGGGTTTCCATTGTCATCTAGAATAAATTTCGTTAATCTTGTCTTTGTCTTTACTCGTGAAACAGTAACATATAATTGACCATGTGTGAACACTGACTTGGTTAAAAATAATCCCACAAATGACAATGTTTGACCTTGACTTTCGTTTATAGTCATAGCAAAACTTATGGCGATTGGGAATTGTCTTCTTTGGAACTTCAAGGGTAGACCTGGATCAGATGGTACCAAATTCATTCTAGGGCTGTAAACTTTTTCCCCGACTCAATTTCCCGAAACCAAAATTGCACCGATAAAAAAATTATTTCGCAGCTCTTGAACGATTAATTTTGTCTTATTACACAATCCAAATGTTTGGTCAATGTTCCTCAATAGCATAATCAGTACCCCTTTTTCAAGACTATTTTGTGGTTTGGGATTTCTGAACATTTGATTTCGTTCAAAAACTCAACAGTTATCCAATCGCCATCAACATCTACATCTGCACCTGCTTAGCATGAAAAATCAGAACTCAAGTACTCCTTTTCATTACCATGAATGAGGGACAGGACGAATTCATTATCATTTCAGCTACTTCGAGAGTTGGTGCCAATAGTGCTCTATGCTCAAAAAAGAATATTTTCTAATATATTCGGATAAGTGAAGTCGACTATACTCTTCATAGGAGAACTTGTATCAAGAATTAAGAATCCAGGCAGAATCTCAACATCACCAACTCCATCCATCACGTGACCTAGCTTTCCATCACCCATTTTGATTATCCAATCAAAAAAAGTTTGTGTGTCCCTCTCTATGCAAGAAGACGTGGATGAATGCAGTCTCATATTCCTGGATAACCATATCTTCTACAAATCGTCATTGCATCTTGACAGTTGTTAAACATTTATCTCATTCCGCGAGTGAAAGAAGATGGTAGGATAATTCGTTGTCCAGAGGCTGCCGATTCAGTATCACCTCTGATAACAGATTCCTCTAAGCCACTCATGATATTTCCTCTAAATTGATCCTGGTTAAATTTTACCCACTGATTCTTTATGCTTCAACCATCGTGTATGCATCAACTAAAATATGTAAATACAATCTCTGTGCATTCAACAAAACCCTTTCATCATTCTCCTTTTCATGTAGTCGAAATGCAACAAATTCTCTCATGGTATGTTTGGGAACATGGATTTGGATTTCAAATCCAGATTTGGCTCAAATTCCATGTTTGGGAAATTTAAAAATTTTGAATTTGGATTTGGGTCAAATTCATCTCATTCATAACAAAATTTAATTTAAAATCAATGCACATCTCCTTGTCATTTGAAATTTAAGATTTCAAATTTTGGAAATTTAGTATTATTTAGGATTGTTTCTTAATAATATTCTCCATGAATTTTGTTAATGACCATATATAAGTAAAGTGATCAATAATATATAGTCATGGAAGTAAGACATATAAGTAAGGAATCAAAAATAGTATTGGAATTTCTATTAGTATAGGTATTCTATTGATTTCAACCTATATATACACGAATTTCCATTAATAAATCTTTGTTACTTACTAATTTAAGTATGAAATTTATAAATATGGAAGTAAGATAAATGATTAATATATATAGCATGCTTCTAAAATTCTATTTAAGTTAAATGAAAATTATTATATTTCTTTTTTAAAAGGTATTTATTTTTTTTGTTTTTATTTTTAATTGTTTATATTATCCTCGTAATAGGAGTTCATATTGTTGTAATCTGAAAACATATATTAACATATAATATTATTGATTATTTAAGACACATAATTAAGGATTTCTATTTATAAGTAAACGTTACCAAAATAATATTAGTATTATCCAACATACATAATATATATATAAGTAAGGTGATGAGTAATATACTCGTGATCATCACTTTCAAATATAGTATTATTTAGAATTGTTTCTTAATAATCTTTTTTGTAAAAAAATTATATTCTAATTTCCATTAATATAGGTACTCTAATGATTTTAACTCTTATTATGCACGAGTTTTCATAATAAACCTTTGTAACTTATTAATTTAAGTATGTAATTTTTAAATATGGAAGTAGGATAAAGGATTAATATATGTAGCATGGTCCTAATATATGTAACCGAATAAAGGATAGGGAGATCCGCTGGTGCAGTTCGTAACAAATTTTCTTTTAAGGGTCCGTTTGGTATATGGAATTGATGGATTTGGAATTGAATTGGAATTGAAATTCCATGAGATTCAATTCCATAGAATTGAATTCACCAATTCCAATTCATTTTTTGCATTATCAATTTTAAATCCACATAATTTTTATGTTACCAAACACCAGAATTGGAATTGAAGTCTTCAATTCCAAATCCAAAGTTTGAATTTCATTTACCAAACGGGACCTAACTTTACTATTATTACATGGCTCGCTGACGTGTTCAATTTTTGTCAAATAGACATGCCAAATGTCGCATTCTGGTGAATCCGAATCTCCTTTATTATATTAAAGGATATGATCATTTACTTCTTCAGGCTAACACAGTTTGGAGTGGGTATGATTGTCGACACAATAAAATCTTATGCAGGTTGGTCTTATGAGATAAGTAATATACTTTCGTTTGTCACTTTTCTTCTTGCAAATTTGCATTTTTTTTGCCATGCAAAGTTAAAACAAAAATGTAAGGAAATGCTCGAGGTCCCGTTCCGTTCAAATTGTTTTTTTATTTTTTTTATTTTTATTAAAATCAGATCAGATCAGATCAGATTGAATCAGGTCAGATCAGATCGAATCAAATCAGATCAGATCCAATCAGACCAGATTAGATCAGATCCCATCAAGAATTATTATTATCATCATCATCATCATCATCATCATCATGATTATTATTATTCTTAAAAATGAAAAAAAATAAACTTTAGAAACAAGTTAAAAAGAAAACTGAGAAAGTAATCCTTAATTATTAGACGTCGGAAAAACTATTTTTAAAATACATTGACAATATTAATCTAATTCTATTTTTAAAATACATTTTTATTGCTACTTGTAATTTGAGTTTCTAAAGTTTTGATCTTTTCTAAGGATGAGATATTTTAATAAAAATACTATCTCTTCTATTTATTGATTATTTAAATTTAATTACTTTTTAATGTATATAAATTAAATATTTATTCTAATGTATATATGAAGTAATTATTAAAATATTAAATTAATATTCTAATTTCACAAAAAAATAATCAAAAAAAATTATTACATTATAATATGAATGATTATTCTAATATATGAATTAACTAATTTTCTTTTATTAAAAAATAATCATAGAATAAAAAATATTGATTATATTATAGTATAAATTATCATTACAATTTTCAAACGTTATTATAAAGTCAAATCAAATTATTGATTTGAATTTTAAATCAAATCATAATTAATCAGATCAGATCAGAACTTATTACAATCAGATCAGATTAGAAAAAATAAGTTAAACGGAACGGAGCATAAGTACCCCCAAGCTTGTCCCACCTTTTTTTGTTCATATAGACGAACTCACAGACAAATGCTCATACTCCGTATTTATGAAACCATGTTCTGTGAGGATAAAAAAAGCACTGAGATGAGTAACACTCACTTGAGATCAGTACATGTGAAGTCCTTAAAAGTAAAGTGGCCGAACATAAATATACCATCTTCAGTTGGAGAATTCTTCTATGATCCTTATAAAGGGGTTCAATTGTGAGCCTATGAAAAATATGTGACAAGGTCTATATTTTAAATGTAGGCTTTGAAACCACAATAGAACAACTTTTTTCAATTAATTAAACACGGATAATTAATCCTTGTTGCCATTCAATTAAGGGCATGTTTTACACGATCTATAATTTCGTAACTTATATTCTAGAGACTTTATGTTTCCAGTTGTGCTAATAATCCCAACATTTGAGGTTATTATGACCACATACTTTGTAAGAACAAGCAAAGACAATAACTGTCGGTGCATTGTGTAAAGAATGAGGTCATGTCAACAAAAAAATGTTTGAGTTATCCAAGTGTTATTCTTTAAACTTTACTCTAGTCTCTACATTCCACTTAAAAAATATTCATGTGTTCACATTTTAGACTTTAGTTTTCATACCAGGCTCTATACTTCAGTTAAAATCAAGGTGTAAAAACATGCTCAAATTCAAAACAATACACTACTCCGTACCAAGTATGAGTGAATGTACCACTTTTTTCATTCTTCTTAAGAAATATGACATTTATTTTTTGATGGATCTCTAGATCCAAGCAAGAAGTTAAAGAATAATAATCTCACAATATGTTGCGTAATGATTAATTTCGGATCCCTCCCTCTTAACGGAGGGGGTCTATATATACCTGTTATGGGATACATACTAGGAATCCCGATCCCAATTCAATCGGGACTAGAGGATCCTACTCTTGCCCCTCACTTCTTAAGTTTCTAATTACAACACAATCTCTCCAAATCTCAAAGATTCTCACGGACTCAATCCCATTCTGCATCTCATAGTATTCTCACATGCCGCATAACTTGGGCCGATCAAGCCCACTCGTCCAACTAGGTACATGGACCCAATCTCCACCATAAACCCCAAGTCCTATGTATGACGCATCATCATGGGACCATTGAATCTAAAACATTCATGACTTAAAATCCTTTGGAACCGGCCGCTATTATGGAAGCTTCATCATCTCCGCCGTTTTTATTCATCATTACGCCTCAGGACCCCAAAGCTCTCTCTGCATATTAAGTCATCACCCACTTTTTCTTCTTTACGCTTCCAATTTGAATTTCTCTCTTGTTCAATAACATCAATTCCTTCAGTTCTTTATCCCCAATTTCAATTTGTTTTCAAACCTTCCTTCCTTTTTAGCCCTTGAAATGATAAAGGTCAATGTTTTTGCACCTGGAACCTGGAACAAACGACTATCATGAGGCATGAACTTGCCAAAATGTAACAGATCTTGGGAAAGGGGGTCAAGGTTTGCTATCCAAAAAACATTAACATCGCCAACAGCCTGAAGCCGCCCTGGTACCTTATTATGCACTTTAAATTTGTAAAGGCTGGATTTCGAGTGCCCCTTCATCACCTCTACATTGATCACTGAAATCATTGGATATTCCTCCCCAGGCAATTGATTGCAAATTCCCATCTCTATACCTTCACTTTCATCCTCAGATGTCAAGAGAAAGGCGAACCCGCAACCTTTCTCAATTTTGAGAATTTGTTTAGCCTTGGGGGAGGCTTTCACATTAGCCTCTATCCCAACACCAAATGACCTCTTATCAAGAACATCCCACAAAAGGTGAAGGAATGGGACAAAGAGTACTTCCTAATCGTCTTCTCTGATCACCCTTCCGCTCGTCCTGGATCTGGTGCACCGTCTCTTCGTAAGCCGCCTTCAGCCTTGACGACCGTGCCTGGTCCTCCTTCTTGACTTTGTCAGTCTTGGTTTTGGTATACCCTTCCTCTAACTCACGCTTACTCCAATTCAAGTTTTCCGCTTCAGCATACTCCCAAGCGGTGTTGTAAACTTCCTGGTATGATGAGGGTGGTCTCCTGCAAAATTCGGTATACAGATCCCCTGCCCGAAAGGCATTCATCAAGAGGGACATGGCCGTCTTATCATTCATCTCCTCCACCTTGTCAACCTCTTCCCTCCAGCGAGTGAGGAACTATGTCAACGATTCCTTCTCTCGTTGTCCTACCATATTGAGATAAGTAAACTTCTTTCTCTTGATGCAATTGCCCTAGTACTTTGCTCGGAAAAGTTCGGCTAGGCGTTCAAAGGTGTTTATCTTCCCATGAGGAAGGTTGTTGAACCACTCTACTGGTCTCCCCCGGAGTGACAAGAAGAATAGGAGACATTCCTCCGCATCGGTACATCCTGCCATTTGTGCGGCATTATGAAAGTGTCCAGATGTATATCCGGGTCCTCCTTCCCGGTGAACTTCTCCACATCAAGCTTGATCTTCCTCCTCAACCTCTGGGTATGGACTTGCAAGGAAAATGGAGATCTCGCCAGGGTATGCTTCCTCCGTCCACTCTTCTCATCCACCTTGTCCTCCAAGGCCTTCAGCTTTCGCACCATGCTCCCGATCAGGTTGACGCCCTCCTCCTGATCTTTATATGAGAGTCGGGTGTATGCCGATTGTCGAGGTTGGCTTTCAGCTTCTTCCTCATCCAAATGGATTGTCTCCGCATCCCTAGAATGCTTTGACTATGCAGGGTGTGGGTCCCTTTCGCCGCCAAGGCAATCGAAAGCACTAGCCCGAGCTGCCTCAAGCCCCAGGCGTAGCTTGGCCGATTTGCGGGGTCCGTCCTCCTTGTCACCTAGTCGTTTGAATGCCGAGTCTCGAGTTTTACTCGGCTTGACGATAGCTTTGCCCTTTCTCCGGCGTGCCACCTCCGAGTCCACTACGTTACGGTCTTTGGAGGTGCCCGGAGCGCTTGAAGGCCCTACTCCATCCATGGTCGTAGCCAGATTTATGGGATGCACGAAGCTTACTATTGGGGACTTGTCGTGTGGTCCAAAACAAATTAAAAATTTATAAAATATCCTTAACTAACCCCTAATATATAATCAAATAAAAACTATAGCTAGGGCAAGTAAGGGTCGATCCCACGGAGAAATGTTGCACTTTTTAAAACCAATTTAGTATACAAACACGTTGTCACGAAATAAAATAAAAAAAACAAAACTACTACACAAATGATAATACTTATAAAACTTTTAATTAAATAAATATATAAACTTATAAATATAACTTATATAAACAAAGAACTTATAATATAACTTATAAACACAAAACACATACTTAAGATATACTAAAAAAGTATAAAAACTTATATTTATAACTTATAAAAAACACTTATATATTAACTTAGTAAATAAAACATAGATACTTATACTATAACTTAAACATAACAAGGGGGGGTTGGATGAAAAGTAAATATTTTTTGGTTTTTTTTGATAAAATGAGGGAAAAC